TTGGTAGGAAGGTTGCCGAAGACGTGGAGTGGCTTGGAAGATAAACCCATGACGGCGAAGGTGTTGAGTCCCGCCTCTGTATGCGCTCATCAAGACGAAGTTGTAGGCGGCGTCGCCGTAGGGATTGAAATTGCGCTTGATGATTCCGTTCTCCACCACCTCGCCGGCGGAGATGGGTGGGAGGTGGGGGAGAGGCGGCGGAGCAGCCTGGCGATGGTAGTGGTGGAAGTTGGAGAGGGTGATTTTGGGAGGCAGCTGCGGAGGAAATCGGAGAGGTGGAGGAGGAGGAAGAGAGAAGCGGGAGGGGAGGAATTGAAGGACGGTGCGACTGAACAAACGAATAGGAGAGCGGTGATTGAGGAATTTGAGCTCTGCTGCCACAGTTCAAGCAAACCCAACAAACATCTTCTTCTCTCTCCTTTCGCCATTGATGAATAGTTGCAGAGGAGAGGAGAGAGAGAGTGAGAGAGAGCAATGAATGAATTTAACTACACTTGCAACCAAGTTTACGAACAGAGCACGCATAACCAGAAAACAGAAAAATTCCTCTCCTCTCCCTCTCCCTCTCCGTCCTTTGTTCTTTGGAACCTTGAGAAGAACATCCTAGTCGAATACATATATACCTTCGTTCGTTTTGGATGTAGGTGAATTTTTTTATTTTTTAATAATTTTAGTTTAGGAGTTGTTTAGTTTTTATATTGGGCTAAATAATTACCAAAATGGTCAAAAAAAAGTTAAAAATTATAAAAGGAAAAAAAATTAGAAAAATTATTTATAATCATGTTAGGAAAACTTATACATATATATGGTCTACTAAAAAAACTTAGGATTTTTATGATTAAGTCAATTTAAAAGTGTTTTAACCCAGAAATCCCAGAAGGAATCTTTTGAACCATTTACCCATGTATGTATAGTTTATATCCATTTAAAGTCATTTTCTTGATTTACAACTATTTCTTGGACATTAGCCCTATATATTCATTTGATACCCTTATAATATTTTTGAATGATTAACAATTTAATTGATGTGAACATCTCATATTTTAAATTCACATTGGTAGGTAATGTAAATTGGCCGTACGGGTGGCCGAACCCGACCTCGGAGCCCGGGGCGGGCCCGGCCCGTTGACAATGTGAATATTCACATTAACATCATAACATTACATTATAGAAGTGTAAAATTGACCCCGTCCCGGTGGCGCGCGAAACCCGCCCGGACCCATGCCGCCGGGGCGCCCGGGTCCGGCCGTCGACAATCGTGAATATGTCACGATTCGACTGTCTACATCCATTGTGATAAGAGCATAAAACTCTTGGCGGGTCCAATGGGCGGCAAAAAAGCCCGACGGCCCGGGCGGGCCGTGCTGTTGACAATGTGAATATTCACATTGACATGTTTAACATTCACAGTTGATAGGAGTATAAAAATAGCCCGCTGCCTCGGTGGCTGCCCAAAAACCCGCCAGGCCCGGGGCGGGCCCGGCCCGGGCCTGTTGACATCGTGAATGTTCTCATTGAACATGTTAACCATTCCATGTGAGAAGAGTATAAACTGGACACAACCCAGGGCGGGCCCGACCGCCCGGCCTGGCACGTTGAAACTATGAATATCCACGTGTGACGATGTTTAAGCATTCACATTAATAGGAGTGTTATAATGGGCCCGTCCTGTGAGCGGCGCGAAAACTCGCCGCGGTCCCATGGACGGCCCGGGGCGGGCCGGTCCCGCCATTGACAATGTGAATATTCACATTGACATTTTAACATTCACATTGATGAAGTCAAAAGTTGGCGCGGCCCATGGGCGGTCAAAAGCCGCCGCGCCCTGGGCGGGGCCCGCGCCGGCCCGTTGGGGACAATGTGAATTTCACATTGACATGTTAACATTCACATTATAGCGAGTGTAAATTAGCCCGCACCTCAATGGGCTTGCCCGAATTCCGCCTCACGGGGTGGGCGTGCCTGGCCCACCTTTGGTTGATTAACGTGAATGTTCACATTGACATTTAACATTCACATTTGATAGATATAAAACTGGACAGCAGTCGGGCGGGCCCGACCCGGCCGGCCGTTGACAATGTGAATACTTCACATTGACATGTTAACATCTCACATTAATAGGAGTGTAAATTGGCCCCCGTCGTGTGGCAGCGAAACCCGCCCAGCCCGGGGGGCCCGGTCCGGCCCGTTGAAATTGAATATTTCACATTCAGTGTTAACATTCAATTGATAAGAGTATAAATTGGCCCGCGCCCATGGACGACCAAAGCCCGCCGCTGGCCGGAGCGGGTTGCCACCGGCCCGGCCCGGCCTGTTGACAATGTGAATATTCACATTGACGATGTAACATTCCAATTGATAAAAGTGTAAAATTGGCCCGCAGCCCGTGGCGCCCAAAACCCGACGCAGCCCTGTTAGTTCGTCTCTGGCCTGAACGCGGAAATGATCTCGAATATTCAGAGGTAATTGACATTAGTTACTACATTGCTATGATAGGAGTGTACAAATTAGCCCGGCACCCCCGTGCTGGCCGAAACTCCGCCCATGGCCGGGGTGACCCAGGGCAGCCCCGGCCCGGCCTGTTAACAATGTGAATATTCACATTGACATGTAACTTCCCATTGATAAAGTGTGTCAATGGCCCGTGACCGTGTGCAGCCCGAAGCCTTGACCTCAGGCCGGGCGGGCCCGACACGTTGGCAATGTGAATAATTCACATGACATTTAACATTCACATTGAGATAGGAGTTTGCATAATTTGGCCGCAGCCCGTGGGCGGCTCGAGCCTGATCGCAGCCCGAGGCGGCTTGGCCGCGACCCATGACAATGTGAAATTAATTCACATTGACATGTTAACATTAAATATAATAGGAGTGTAAAATTTGTCCGCGCCCGTAAGCGTTGCCCGCGCCTAGGGTGGCCCGGACCCCAACCCGGGCCGCCCACGGGTTCAGGCCGCCCGTGGGACGTGATCAATTTTACACTCTTATCATGTGAATGTTAACATGTCAAGTTGTGAATATTCACATTGTCAACAGGGCCGGGTCGGCCGCCTCGGGCGCCCACGGCGTGGGCGTTATTTCGGGCAGCCACTGGACGGGGCACGGCTATGTAGTGGGTAGAAATAATTTTTAAAAATTTTAAAATATTTTTTTGACATTTATTTTGTCAAATTAGTTTATATTTTATCAAATTGATGATTTTTCCATTGAAATTAAGCAATGGTATGTTCAATTCTCCTTATTTAAAACAAAATTTAAAATTCAGGTTAAATGTGTCACAACTGAAAAGTCAGAGACTAAAGTGACATGAGTTCCAAACTATAGGAGCTATTAGTGTAATTCACCCTCTAAATAAATATATTTTTTAACTTTTAAAAAAATATACAAAATCTAAAAAAATAATATGACATAAAAATATTAAAAAAATAAAAAATACACTTTTTTATGCACCCAAACAACTTCATAAAATGCTAACGGTGATATTACATATATTAAACCACCCATTCGCTACCACCCACTATCCCGCCACCGTCACCCATCCACCCGCCACCACCCACCACCACCATCTACCCACCACCCACCGTCACCACTTTCCACCACCCTCTTCCGCCGCCACTTGCCACCACTTGCCATTTTTCACTCTTTTTTATATTTTTAAAATTTTTTGAACATTTTGTCAATTATCAAACGCGTTTGTAGTTTATGTTTTTTTAAAAATAAACAAAAATCAATTTATAAAATTTTGTAAATATAAATTGAAAACGTAAACGTTACCAAACACACCCAAAGTGTTTTAATTTCAGTGAAAAATACCTTGTTCTTGCTTATCTATAATTTCTCCTTAAAAATTACACTTCTGTTTACCTAACAAATCCAACAAAATAATGTTTATCCCCTTTGTCCTATAGTTGAATCTTCCTTCTTTATGTCGTTTGGGCTCAATCTAAGTTGGTTTTATTTTTTCCATTATTCTTTGCTTTTTTCTTTTCTTTGGTGAAAGACAAGACATTAGAAAGGGCCCTTTTTGATCTGTCCACCCAAATGACATGTTTGTGTTGACTTGTCAAGAAGGCAACGAGCTGTTGATCATTAGTCATTCTAGCATAACCCCACCCCATAGACAAGAAAATTAATTACATACCCTTAAAATCGCAAATAAAATGTCACAAAACAAAGTAAGTAACCATGATTTGAAATTGAAACACCATATATGCATTACAATATTTTGAGACAACAAAATAATGAGCCAATAAAAAATAATAAAAATCTCAAATCAGTGACATTGTAAAAAATAAAAAATAAATTAAAAAAAAATTGAATTTTCATAAAATCCAAATCTATTTTGTATTTAGCGTAAATCTTTCTTGTATATCTGTTAAACTTATACCTCAAAAGTTCTCATATGTAATGCAAATTTATTTTTTTATTTTAAACTATCCCACTCATGCAAACAAAGCACAAACCATATGATGGGTCTACATTTATTTATTTAAATTTTTTGCATATAAAAGTGAGTATCAAAGGCAGAACCCATTTTGATTAGGCCCACCCTCTTTTTGAGTGGTGGCCAGCGATGGTCGTGCTTGGTGGTCCCAAACACCGCCAAGTTATCCCTTCTAAAAAGAAAGGTATGTGAATTCAAAGTGAAATAATTGAAAAAAAGTACGAGTAATGCTAGAGATCTCAAATATTCTATTAAAAATTTTATCAAATGTCTCACATGAGTGTGGGACCCACACAATGTGGGTCTCATGTGAGTCCCACATCCATGTGAGACATTTAGTAAAACTTTTGATAGAATTTTTTAGGTCTCTAACATTTTTAAAAAAGTATATTTAAAAAAAGAATGAAAAATTTCCTTTATACAAAAAAAGTTCATAGATTATCATCACCTATATCTATATCTATCACTATTAGAGAGAGAGAGAGAGAAAAAGACAAAAAAAAAATAAAATAAGTGTTCGACTTTTCCCCTATTTAGATATGGACCGAAGAGAATACAATCCAAAATCTCAGATTGTGCTACATTGGTATTTTTGTTAATTAAAAGTTTAAATTTTGTCTATCTATTCATCAACCCAATATTGCATCAGAGTATAAAGTTAGACCCAATATGAAGGAGTCGAGACAAAATCTACACCTTTAATTTAAAGAAAAATATCAACGTGGCACAATCTAGAACTCAGATTGGACTTGCCAGTTAATGCCCGAACCGGAGAGAAGCCTTTGAAAAAAAAAAAAAAAACTATTATACAGAATAGGCCCGAACCGGAGAGAATTTAAAAAAAAAAAAAAAAAAAACTATTATACAGAATAGAGTATCAATGAAAATCCCCACCACTAGGAAGGGTGTATTAAAGGAAAAGAAAAGAAAAGAAAAGAAAAAAGGCATAAGATGGAAAGAGAGGAGAGAAAGAAAGGAATGAAAGAATTAGAATTGAAGATAGGCGGTCATTGCCGGGTTCTTTGTAACCTATGTCCAATCGTCTTTTGTTCGAATCTCTTCACTAGTCCTGTAATGCCTCGCATTGTGGTGTCCAAAACATACGGGATTCCATCAACGGTAATGTCAGTAGTGTTGACCAGCTGCCGGCAAGGCTCATGCCGCTCGGCTATGGTTCCGTGGTAATGAAAGTACTTAATGCGGCCTTGCGTCTTGTAAGTGGTCTTGCCTGCAAAGTTCTGCGACATGTGCACACCTGTCGCAAACACGTTGCGCGGTTGCACTGCATACTTTCGATCTCTCCTAATACCTCTCTTCACATCCCTGTACACCAGCTTCTCAAATCCCCATTTCCTGTGAAATTTAGACACCCATCAATCACTTGTACAATTTAAGATCCAATATTCAATAACCATTTTCAATTGAACAAAAGCAACAAGTTTGTTCAAGAAATATCAACCCATGTTACAGTAAAAAGCAAAGATACCAAACATTTTAAACTGTTTTAACTTTATTCCAAATAGGGTGTTGGGTTGTGATCTGTTGTTTTAATTCTATGTATAGGTAGCCGAAGGGTGACAATCTCTAATCACAGTGAAACTGCAGAGAGATTGTGGACTTATAATTTTTGTTTTCTTTTTTGTTTTTTGTGTCTCAATAATACTGAGGTGTCACAAATGCTTAATATGATGCCACTAGACAAAAGGCAATCAGAAAGCCAAAATATCCCATTAATTTGATTCCTTGAATGAGGTTTACCGACTAAAGATTAAATGCAACGCGAAGCTATTTTGGATCTACTCTACAATAAATTTCAATTTGAAAGTGATACTTATTTGGATCCACCCCGCAATCAACAAGTAGCAATACAATTTTTTTCTACACACAAATTACAAATTTTGAGTCAGAGTGAGTAAAATAATGATAAGAAACTAAACTAAACTAAAAAAGGTGGTCTACATCAAGAAGAATAAGAAACAATCAAAAGAAAACAAGTTCTAACCCACCCCACATAAACTTGGCCTCAGATAGAATTAACGATTGAGCAAGAAATTAAACAAACAGCATAGGAAAGAGAAGACAACAAAGGAAAATACTAGAAGTCCCAAATTTTCTACTAAACAAATGACCAAATGTCTCACATGGGTGTGGGGCCCGCAACACCCATGTGAGACATTTGGTCATTTGTTTAGTAGAAAATTTGGTGTCCCTAACATTACCAGACAACAAATGAAAAATCCACACATGTCCACACTACCCTTGACATAAATATAAAGGAAACAAAAATGCTAGAGGTCCCAAAAATTCTACCAAAAATTTTACCAAATGTCTCACATGGGTGTGGGACCCACATGGGACCCACATTGTGTGGATCCCACACCATGTGAGACATTTGATAAAATTTTTGATAGAATATTTGGGGTCTCTAACATTACTCTAAAGGAAATGTTCAAGATCAAAATATATTCTGAGCTGTAGAATTTTCAACATCAGCACAAAATGTTGAAAGCAATCAACCACCACTAAATTGCAAAGTGTACTACCTGTCCCACTCATTTGACAAGAAGGCAATTGTGGGTCCAGCCTACTTGTATTAGGTTTCAACAGACAGCTCAATGCCTCCTCAAATGTACCCAATATTTAGAATTAGAAATCTATGAATATATAATTAAAACACAGAAACAATCACATACGCGAGACAAAGGATAGGACTTGCATGTAGTCGGAAGTTTCACATGTTGGTCTCACCTTTTATCTTACATCTATGAATATTTTTGTACTTTAATTTTTGCGTTCCTAACATCTGTGAATATTTCTGTATTTTAATTTTTGTGTTCCTAGCATGACTCTTTAAAACTTGTAGTGAAGTCTTCCATACATAGTGACAGCTAGAGATGTAATGGATCAATTTATTGCAACATAAAAATTATGAATTCATTCATTAACATTTGGACAGGCCAGCCTCAACTATAACAAGTAAAAAATTCCATAACACAACATGGAGAGAATTATTTCAGTTCTCAGTGAGACATTGACACTTCTCTTGGTGACATTGGCAATCCTTTGAACCTAAATCTCTGTATTGACACGAAAATTTCAAAACATAATGATACAGGAGAGCTCAAAATCACTCAATTCCAATGTGACACAAAAATCTCAAAACATAATTATACAACAGAGAACGCTCCAAATCACTCGATCCTAATGCAATATGAAAGTCTCAAGGGATAATTGCACGACTAAAAATGCATTTGAATAAAAATTGGGAGAAAGTATCCTGAGCCTAAAATTAGAAACCATCTAACCATCTAGAGCGAGTCTAGTTAGTCATAACACTTTTGCCGCGTTAGGAGATCAATGGTTCAAATTTGCTACAAGCTTCAATATATACATATAAAGGAAAAAAAATAAAAAATAAAAAACTAGAAACCAAACTCAACATGTTCAAAAAGTCACCTTGTTTAGTTGAGTTTTCATAACTAATTAATTTGGTATAAAAAAAAAAAATCAAAAAAATACTCACCTCATATGGTTTTCTAGTTTTTTTTTTTTTGGGGGGGGGGAAATATAATTTTTAAAAATTTAAAAATATTAGTTTCGGTATTAATTTTCATTAAACTAATTTTTATTTTAAAAACAATTTTTTTTTTTTTTTAAAAAAAAAAGCAAATTCTAAAATTTCAACCAAACAAACAACATTAACAATTTATAAAATCAAAAGAGAAATTAAAAAACAGAGCATTTATTTATTTATTATTTTAATTACCTGGAAGTTTTACCAGTGTCTTCAGAGAGACAGAGCTTGCTGGACATGGTCATCTGTTCAATAGTGAACTGAGTGTAACCAGAGAGCGAATCAGTGACCGATTTGATACTACTCCTCTTCCTCGGCACAAATATGAACTCATCAACATCAAAAAAGAACATCCATTTCGCATCAAATCGATATCTATGCAAACAATCATTCACAATGAGAAACTGGTTATGGTAATACCCATCAAACCTCTCTTGCTCTCTGATATCGTGCAAGGTCACAAAACCCTTTTCCATCCATGGCTTCAAAACCTCCATAACCTCCTGGTGAGCCCCACCAGCGTCGTGAATCACGAAATGAGACCTCTCACCGAACAGCCTAACATGGTAGGCCAGCCATTCTCGAATTCTCTGTGGACTCAAGTCTCCGTACAAGGACGACCCACAATAGAGGTAATCGTATTTGGGGGGAGATGTGAAGAGAGAAGGGTTTAAGCTTCCGGGTGATTCGAATAATGCTTCAATGGTGTCAGTGGTGTTGGAGTTTCGATCTCCGCCGCCGTTGGTGGAGGCGTGGAGGAGTAATTTTCCGCCGCCGTGGCCGACGGGCGAGGGGAAGGTGCAGTTGATTACGACGGTGGTGTAAACGCGGCCGTAGCCCCAATCAGGGAGGATTTTGTGGCCGACGGTGGTGGTGGTGGTGGCGTTGTGGGGGACCCATTCGCATTGGTAGGAAGGTTTGCCGAAGACGTGGAGTGGCTTGGAAGATAAACCCATGACGGCGAAGGTGTTGAGTCCGCCTCTGTATGCGCTCATCAAGACGAAGTTGTAGGCGGCGTCGCCGTAGGGATTGAAATTGCGCTTGATGATTCCGTTCTCCACCACCTCGTCCGGCGGAGATGGGGTGGGAGGTGGGGGGAGAGGCGGCGGAGCAGCCGTGGCGATGGTAGTGGTGGAGGAGTTGGAGAGGGTGATTTTGGGGAGGCAGCTGCGGAGGAAATCGGAGGAGGTGGAGGAGGAGGAGAGAGAGAAGCGGGAGGGGAGGAATTGAAGGACGGTGGCGACTGAACAAACGAATAGGAGAGCGGTGATGAGGAATTTGAGCTCTGCTGCACAGTTCCAAGCAAACCCAACAAACATCTTCTTCTCTCTCTCTATCGCCATTGATGAATAGTTGCAGAGAGAGAGAGAGAGTGAGAGAGAGAAGCAATGAATGAATTTAACTACACTTTGCAACCAAGTTTACGAACAGAGCACGCACTAACCAGAAAACAGAAAAATTCCATCTCCCTCTCCCTCTCCCTCTCCCTCCTTTGTTCTTTGGAACCTTGAGAAGACATCCTAGTCGAATACATATATACCTTCGTTCGTTTGGATGTAGGATGAATTTTTTATTTTTTAATAATTTTAGTTTAAGGAGTTGTTTAGTTTTTATATTGGGCTAAATAATTACCAAATGGTCAAAAAAAAGTTAAAAATTATAAAAGGAAAAAAAATTAGAAAAATTATTTATAAGTCATGTTAGGAAAACTTATACTACATATGGTCCTACTAAAAAATTTATGTTCCCATAAATCCTGTAGGAAGTTTATTGACACATTTACCCTCAATATTAGTTATTAATATCATAAATAATAGTAAAACCATATATAGGAAATTGAATGTTAGTATAGATCATATTTATATAAACGTAACGTAACGTAACGTGACACTTACGTAAACGTAACATGACATCTATACGTAACATGACACCTACATAAACGTAACGTGACACCTATGATTTATGACAATATTTAATTTCCTATATAGGAAATTGAATGTTACCATAGATCATATTTATATGAAACGTAACGTGACACCAACATAAGCCAACAACATTTTTATATTCAATTTAAAAAAATAAAAGCTCATTAAGTTTGCGAAACGTAACGTGACACGTTACGTTACGTTTATGTAGGTGTCACGTTACGTTTATGTAGGTGCCACGTTACGTTACGTTTATATAGGTGTCACGTTACGTTACATATATGTAGGTGTCACGTTACGTTATGTTTATGTAAGTGTTACGTCATGTTACGTTACGTTACGTTTATCTAAGATCTTGTGGAATATATTCATATTTAAATAGGACTTGAGACTCTAGAAGAAATTACACAGGACTTAACCTAGTATAAGTGTCTGAAAAATGACTTATAAATAAGTCTCCCAAAAAACTTCATCATTCCAAAGTCAAAAAAGCCAATTAAGAATACGAAACGAATAAAAAAAATCACAAGCTAAAAAAGACAAAAAAATCAACTAAAAAAGTCATTGCCAAATGAAGGCCAAGATTACAAAATTTCATTTATGATGAATTTTTTGATTTTTTTAATTTTTGTGAAAAAAAAATAATTATGATTTAAATGTAATATTTTATCTTATTAATTTTTAACTTATCTTATCTTTTTTGTAATTAAAATAGCTAAAATTGCCCATGCCAACATAACCATATGGGTCTTAAAATAACATAAATAAATAAATAAATAAAAACTATAAAACTTTTTTTTTTATTAAATTAGAAAAATGTAATGGATAGTTAAGATTAAAGTGGTGATATTTATATTCAAAATAAATTTCAACTAATCAATATTTTTTTTTAATATGTACTCTTAGTATTAATTTTTTTATACAATTTTTAAAATATTTTTTTAAATGAATATATGTTGTAATTAGTGTATGTGATTAGGAAAAGAAAAGTAGGAGAAGAGTTTCATCAGAGTAGTTAAAGAGGTTGGGTCGGAAAATGCAGGTCCATATATTAATGGTTGAGATTATTAAAAGTGGAATTTTAATAGCACCACTAATGATGTGGTAGTGGGCGACCCCACTACCTATACTTATGCCTTGTTTTTTTTTTTTTTTTTGACATTCCCAATGTATTAGTACTATTAGTGGTCATTTTTTTAGTGATATGAATCATTATTTTTTTAAAAATGGATGCCAACTCATTAGTTCTAATTTAAAGCATCATTTTTAGTGATACTTATCATTGAAAAAAAAAAAGGTACAATGGCATCATTAGTGTTAGTGATAGCCCTAATTGGTCCTCTCCCTCATTTTTCCTTTTTTTTTTGGGTGTCCCTAATCTTTATGGATATTTTTTTGTCTCCATATAAAAATGGGGATTTGGAATATATATATATATATGGGTTGATTTTCATTTCTTTAGTGAACTTTTGAAGAAAAAAATCTTTTGTTTCCACTTTTTAAAAAATACTTTTCAGAAAATTTTATTTTCTTATTTTTCTTTTTTTTTATTTTTACTGAATTTTTTAAATATTTTAAACAATTTTTTTATTTTTTAGACACACCTAACATAAATATACCTAAAAAGTAAAAAAATTGTAAAAAAAATCTTTAAAAAATTCACTAAATACCAAAAATTCAAAAAAAAATATAAGAATTCAGTACATTTTTTATTTTTTTATGTAATTATTAATTTTTAAAATATTTTTTCACAATTTTTTTTACTTTTTAGATACATCTAAGTAAGGTGCATCTAAAAAAGTAAAAAAAAATGTTTAAAATTTAAAAAATATTCACTAAAAATAAAAAAATACGAAAACCAAAAGAATCAGTTTTCAAAAAATTTAATCCTGAAAACTCAAACCAAACACACTAAATATGTTTTTTACTTTTTAACTTTTATTTGATTAGTCATATTTAAAAGTAAAAAAATAATAATAATTTGAATTTTTCATGAAATAAAATAGTCAATTCTATTTAATTTTTTGGGAAAAAAAAAAAAAAAAACCCATAGTTTGACTATAACAAAATAAACTCTAAATTTTTTATTTTGTCAATTTAAGCCCTAAGCTTTTAATTTGTTTTCAATTTAAACCATTTGCATGTTTTCGTTAAGTAAAATCAATAGAAAAATAAGTATTTTAGCCAACAAAAATTAAAAATTATATTTTAGATATTTCATGTATATTTACATTGAGTTTAATAATTAAAATACTTTTTTTTCTATCAATTTTACCTGATAAAAATAGACTAATGATTTATATTAAAAATAAATTAAAAATTTAAAGTTTATTTTTGTCGGATGCTCAAATTTTGTAATTTATTTCGTAATTGTCCCTATTTTTTTTTTTTTAAGACCTAGAAAAGAATACGAAAACTAAAAAACTCAATTTTCAAAAAACTTAATCCTGAAAACTCAAACCAAACACACTAAATATGTTTTTTACTTTTTAACTTTTATTTGATTAGTCATATTTAAAAGTAAAAAAAAAATAATAATTTGAATTTTTCATGAAATAAAATAGTCAATTCTATTTAATTTTTTGGGAAAAAAAAAAAAAAAACCCATAGTTTGACTATAACAAAATAAACTCTAAATTTTTTATTTTGTCAATTTAAGCCCTAAGCTTTTAATTTATTTTCAATTTAAACCATTTGCATGTTTTCGTTAAGTAAAATCAATAGAAAAATAAGTATTTTAGTCAATAAAAATTAAAAATTATATTTTAGATATTTCATGTATATTTACATTGAGTTTAATAATTAAAATACTTTTTTTCTATCAATTTTACCTGATAAAAATAGACTAATGATTTATATTAAAAATTTAAAGTTTATTTTTGCCGGATGCTCAAATTTTGTAATTTATTTCGTAATTGTCCCTATTTTTTTTTTTTTAAGACCAAGTTTAATCATCGTTGCCAAACAACCTACTCCTTTGGATTCTTTTTCTTTTTATAATATAATTTCGTATCTTTCTTTCTTTCTCCTAAGAATAACACTATAGTCTATTCAAAAACAAATTTCTTGGTTGAACTTGTTTTTTAACCACTAAACCCAAGAAAAATGCCTCCATTTCCTACAAAAAAATAAAGTATATATTAATGCCCCTTTTTGCTAGATTGAAATAATTTCAATATCAATTTTATAATAGTAAGAATTCAGAAGACATATTACATGTATGGCAATTCAGTCATTAAAAAATTATTATAAAACTTGTCTAATGTAAACTAGAGGTGCTAAAAAAAATTCTAAATCATAAAATTTTAATAACTCAAAAACATTGGATTTGTGGTATCATCATCCATAACACATTAACAACCAGAATTTGTTGATAATGGCTAAGAGGAAGGTTTAATTCCATTAGAGAGCATAAAGGGCTCAACATGTAAAAATCTGTCCATCTTTTAATTGTTTTCTCATGTTTATTTGGCTGTTGTAAATTTCATATATAAAGGAAAAAATCACCTTTCAAATCTTATTACATGCTTTATCTGTCTAATTAAACATAATACAATAATTTTATAAAATTTATAATAAAAATGTTGTATGTCATTGATTTTTGTCACCAATGCATTTTATATCATTACTTGTGTGAATTGACAATTCTAATTGAGTACAACCTTTAATACATTGATATACATTTTTTTCATGACAAAAATGCTAGTGATATTCAATTTTTATTTGTAAACTCATCAGAAAATTGTTATCAAATGATCACAAATATATAAAATGAATCTAATGCTTAAATTCGATGGGAAAAAAAAAACTTAAAAATTAATTTTTAAAGTAAAAAGTGTAAACCGCAAACTGTCCGCACATCTACAAACCTTATCCACACAAACCGCAAACCGCACTGCGGGCGGTTACGGGTTGACTTTTTCCTAAACCGCATAGATGCGGGTGGGTCAAAACCGAACCGCAAACCGCACAAAACAGATCCGCGAACACCCCTAATGTTCAGGAAAAACCAAAAAGACAAAAAGTTAAAAAGTTAACACTATTCACCAAAAGTCAACAATTACGGTTACACAACTCTCAATCCTAATTTTCTCCTGCAAACCAATTTTTATAATTTTTTATTACACATTTTTCCATAAAAAGTCAAAAAGTTAACCCAAGCATCTATATTTTCTTCCTCAATTTTTTAGTCCAAAAAGACAAAAAGTACACTTATTTAGGACACCCCAAACAAAAGTAGAAAGAAAAACATAACATGGGGGAGATTATGAGAATACAAGGAACCGGAGGACGAATTCACAATACAAAAAAGAATCAGGGGGCAGCAATGCAAAAAGAAAGAGATCGTTTTATTATTAAAGGGGGACACGTGGAAGATCGTGTGGAACGGTCTACGAGAGAGTACGCCTGTCGCTTCTACTCCTGCTTTTCTTGACTCTTTTTTTTTTTTTAATTTAAATTAAATTCATGTTATTTTAAAATTAAAAATAGTTTTTGAATTTTCTTCTTAAACTAAAAGATTTTGCAAATTTTAATTTTTTTTAATTGTCATTTGATAAAACCGAATTTAAATTTCAAGTTGTGTTTTTTGAAA